TCAGCAGCTTGTACTAGTTAGACTGTGTTTCTATCAAGTTATAGAAACACAATTTTGAACAAATCAGTGTGCATATTTTCTTTGGGCTATTTTCTAAAAACATTCTGGGTTTTGTCACTTACAGAGGCTGTATTGCTATAGTTCAGAAAAAAAAGGCTGTTTACAACTGTTAACCTTATCCTTTCTGATAAATTTCTCAAATTTCTCCCTGTGGTTGTTTTAGTTTAATTATTTTTCAAGACAGGCTGATTTTTAATTCCTTTGTTTGATGTTCATTGCCATTATTTGAAACTAAGGGGAGAAATTTTATGCTAAAAATACATTTTAACTGCAACAAATGTTATATGGCCAAGTGAAAAAAGGCTTCAATTTGGGAAATATTATCTCAATGAACAATCAGATTTTTAATGTGTAATTTGCTGGAGCAAACTTTCTTCATGCCAAGTGACAGATAAGGCTCATGTTAGTCCTTGCAAATTTTGATGCATTTTATGATGCTTATAAGACATTGTTTAATGCCTATTTTCTGGACAGGTGTGTTGTCCCACCCATTACTGTCTCTACACCAATCTTGGATTATGGACGCTGCTTCCTCCATCACCCTTATGAGTTATTAGTCGATCTGCTCAATGAGTCTGATCTTCCTGCCAAATATGAGTTGCTGTCACAGGTACATGCACATTTGCTTACATGTATGTTTTTTTGACCTTTACAGTGAATTGGTGTGGTGTGTGGTTTGTATCAAATTGTATTTAAAATGTGGTATTGAACTCTCCGCTCCACAGGTTGTTGAAGATGTGACACCAATCTTGTATTCAAGTCCTGAACCAAAGGTGAGATGGGAAGGACATAAAGCTGGGTAACCATTTAAATGCTATCTTGCTGCATTCTGTAACAGCAGCATACATCCATACTGAACACTGATTTGCTGTCATAGTGAGTGATACATCCACACCGAATACTCAGTCGCTGACGTAGGGAGTGACTGATGAAGTGATCATGAGATGGTGTGACAGTGGTTTCAAACCAGAGACCTTTTAAGGACGGTGCCTACTAAATACAAAGGTTTTTGCGCGAGGTTAGGACCACGCGGAAAAAATAGATCTTTCCAAGGGCTATTGGAATCCAAAAAGAAAAATGGGGATAGCAGGCATTTTTTTGAGATAATTAGCCTTGAGTCTCAAGAAAAATGCTGACATCAGCATTTTTCTGAAAAAGAAGGAAAGCGTATTTCTCCACAGATTTCCTTAGAATTCGCCTTTATATACAGAAAAGCAAACACATTTAAAAAGATCTTTAAATTACATGGCAAATGGTAACATAAAAACTATTTTTGGTATGTTTTTAACAACAAAATCGTTGCAACAGCGCTTTTAGCGTCTCTGACAGCTTCCTCTGGTTCAGCTAAAATACAGTCTAAATACCTTTTGCTCACAACCAGAAACTAATCATGTGTTGAATAGGCTTGCTACTTCCATTTCATGACATAAAATGTAGAGGTAACCACGCGTTTTTTAAAGTTATTCATCTTTTTTGAAAACTTTACGGCGCTCGTTACATTTTTTCCTGTCACCTCCCCAGTATGTAATACACTTGCGTATCTCGCACTTGTTTTGCGCGCGCACTACGCCATCTGCAGGTTCGTGTTTACAGTTGGATTTCAGTATAATTTTCGACAGATAACAGCTGGTTTTTCAGCTGGAAGACGTTAACAGTCAGAGGTTAGCGATGTGCTGCTATTCTAGTGTTCCTGGTTTAAGTACAGGTTCATTAAACTTGATTTGGTCACAGTGAGAATTTTGCTTTAATTTTAGTCGTGTACTTGGTAGCGTGGTTGATTGCGTCAATGTCAACCCCAGTGCGCGCTCGGAGCTTAAACCATGGCTTGCGTGATGCGCAGAACGTGTGCGCACTAACAAAAGTAGGCACCGTCTAACAGGTGAACTTGCATGTTGTTCAATCCAATCCGCCCACAGCGTAGCAAGTTTAATTTGTTACAGGTGTGAAGACCATATAGCAACAGGACACTCAAAACTTGGTCACATCTGTGACATGGACATCAATATTGCCCAAATACCAGTGAATGTTTCCAATGCCACCACAATCGTCACTGACTTCATGTTTGTCTAACATCGGTGCCAGAATACAGTGATCTTTTTTCCAAGACCGTATGGTTAGAAAGAACCACAACTTATCTCTCCCTTTCTTGTCACACAGGTTGTTCTTGTTGGCGGTCATTTAGACAGCTGGGATGTTGGCCAAGGTGCTATGGATGATGGGGGTGGTGCATTCATTTCATGGCAAGCACTGTCAGTGATACGTCAGTTAAATCTGAAACCAAAACGCACCATGCGCATGGTGCTCTGGACTGGTGAGGAGGAGGGTCTTCTAGGAGCAGAGCAGTACTACAACCGTCACAAAGAAAATGCCAGTAACTTCAGCTTGGTGATGGAGTCTGATATTGGAACATTTATGCCAGAGGGTATATCCTTTACTGGAGGTGAAAAAGCAGTAGCTATAATGAGGGAAGTCATGAGTCTGTTGAAACCAATAAATGTCACTAACCTTAGAGTTGAAAATGTTGGTGGTGACATTACCTTCTGGGTCCGTGATGGGGTACCAGGTGGAGTTTTAGACAATGCAAACAGCAAGTACTTCTATTTCCACCATTCCAATGGTGACACCATGACTGTCCAGGATCCTGATGCCATGGACCTGTGTGCTGCAGTATGGGCTGTAGTGGCTTACACTGTGGCAGATCTGGATGAGCTGCTGCCTAGAGACTAGAAGCAGTGGAAGTTTGAGTCCTGTTGCATGTGTAGATCTTGAAAGGTACACCAGAGAATTATTTGTGTATGAAGTCCAGTGCTAAATGAAACTCTGGGCTCTACCAAGATTTTACAAGAAAGACTTTTTTCATGAGGTAATCTTTTTGTAGTGGTGGTGGGGGTATTGTTAGAACGGAAAAATAATCTATTTTGAAAGTTTGGTTCAAGACTTTTTATTTTCTTTTTTTTCTTTGTAGGGAGTATTTTAATAGATTTAGGCAAAAATGTTCCTCTCAGAAGTTAATACATCGGCAATTGGTAATAGAATCATCATCAATCAAAAACTTTCTAAAATTATAGTAGAAAAGAAATATATAAATCAAATTATTGTAGAAAGCAAATACATAAAGTAATATATTTTTCTGCAATGGGTGTCTTGTTGCTCTGTTGGTGTATAACACACTAAACTACGATTATCAAGACTTGATTTGATATCATAAACATTGAGCATTTGCTTTGTCTCAGAGAGGCTAGCTGATGCTGTTTTAGCTGATCATGAACCATGAGCCTTTGGCTTGGGACTCTCTGTGTTATTGGCGTTAAATAAATTATGCTAAGTTATGTTAATGTAGCAAACCCTGACTTAAAGGAGAAGTTGAAACATCCACTTATGGCTACATCATAGTGTCGACCTGATACCATAGAACCAGGCTTTTAACCAGAATTTGAAAAGTGGCCGTCCAAAATGTGTTCTAAGGCCTGGTCAAATGAGCAAATTATAAGGCAGCACATGAAAAATAAAATAATTTCCTGTAGAAATTGGCCATCCACAGGATGCCTGGACACCCATCTGGCTAAAAGCCTGCATAGAACAGTTCAAAATTTCACAATAACACGGAAGGCCGTTCTTTCATGATCAGAAATGAAGTGAAGTGAAGTTTATGATTCACTTCAAGCTTGTCCACTTTTGTCCACCTGGCAGGCTATTGGCTTGTACATGTAGGTATTTATTTTTGTATTGTTGATTATCCTGAATTGTTGTTGGAGGTTTCGTCCCACTCTAAGACCAGTCTGTATTTGACTGAAAGTCAAAAGTTTCGTGATTTGAATAATGAATTTGTTGACGACGGTGACCATAGCCCAATGAGTTACAGTATTTTTGGTATGCGAGCTATCTCAGCTGGAATTACTGTACATTTTTATATTTTATGTAATGACCAATGAAACTTTTTGCTGTTTGTAAGTAGTGTTTGAATTTTTTAAGTTTCAATAAAAATGCCTAAATGATGTAAGGGGTATTCCCGTAAATTTCGGAAAGGTATGTGCCGCGAAGGGTCTTAAACCCTGGCCTTATTCAAGGATTAAGCAAACGCAAATTGATGCCCTATTTATACCCGAAAAATGATACCCTGTTCAAGGGAAAACAAAAAGTAAGAATGGCATGAACGCCCGGGGGCGGGGGAGTTACTCTCTTATAGGGGCTATGTAGGTATGTGCGGCCCCAAAGGGTAGGGTTTTCCAACCGTTTAAGTCATAAATATGGTATCGATTTTGCTCTTAAATAGGGTATGGTTTTCGCACTCTAGTCCTGAATTGGGTATGTTTCTTAGAAGAAGCTACTTTTTCATTATTATTAATAAGACCGTTAATAAAAGCCCTTCATAACTTATGTTTAGGGCAACTGTGCCTGCCGCAACGGTCATAAACAGGGTATCGAATTTTTGGCCAGGTCATAAATAGGGTAGCAAAAATCGCAGATTTTCGTCATAAACAGGGTAAGGGTTTTGGAAAGTGGGCCGCACATCCCCATCCAACTTTTCTGGGAGTTACCCGCCCCCGCCCTGGGCGTGAACGGGTCAACTTTATTTCAGTTCTATAACATCAAGCATAAAATTTGTTTTTCATTATTTTAGCTGGGCATTTACGTACTCATGTGGAATTTTTGATGACACAATGTAGGCGCCCTATCTTGGGATGACCGGGAACACGATGCCAACAGGGGCAAAAATGATACCCTATTCAAGGATCGGGAACCTCAAAAACCATATCCTATCCCGCGGCTCATTAGCCTCGGCTCTGGTCCTGCCTTGTACGTGGACGCTCTTAGGGCTCGTCCAGCCTGTGAAAAGGCTCCGGCTTGAAGGGTCTGACCGCGGCTGGAAGGGCTCATAAGGATCAGAACTGGCTGAGATTGAAGCGGTAGAGGGGGGAAAGGAGTGGGGTGGGGGCGTCTCTCCTCCTCTCTCTCTCCTCATCTCTTTTTTCCTCTTCCTTCCTGCTTTCTCTTTACCCCGTTCTCGACAAGGGAGCTGTTGACAGGCTATGCCTGTCACGCAGGAAAATTAGTGGACGCTGCGGAAACCTCGGCGACCACTTTTCGTAAGCGATCGCCTCTCCTCAGCGACCGGTTTTCCAAAACACCAAAATTTTCCGAGTCAATTCACTATATTTGGAACCTCTTGTAACCGACCACCTCTCGTAAGCTACCGCAACCACTTTTAGAGCTAAAAGTTTGAAATTTTCTGTGCTTTTAACTTCCCGTAAGCGACCCCAGTTGACATATGAGAGTGGAAATTGAATAATAAGGTATTGTAAGATTTCTGGAAAGTACAAGAGACGGAAATGTTTCAAATGAGATTTTACTTATTATTATTAATTATTGTCGCGGCTAATCGCCGTCGCAAAG